AGGTTGTCTGGACCTTCCACATCAAGAGAAGTGAACCAAACAATGTCTGATGCCAGACTCTCCTCTGATACGAAGACGACTGGCCTTGTTTCGGGTTAGAAAACAAGATGTTATTTTGTCTGTGGACAGAGTGCAGTGGTTGCAGTATGCCAGAAACGTTCCGTCCGGCTTTTCTGTTGCAGGCCTACCTTATCGTTCCTGCATATAGTATAACGTAGTTCTGAGCATTTTGAAAAGATTAAGGAGAGTACGTTTCTGTGGTTTTTTTATGTATTTGTGGGATATTTAGCGATATTTTCAGTAGCTAGATTGTACACTGTCGAATGGATGAATGACAGGTGAATGATAGTTTGGAAAAGCAGTTGGAAGGAAGTTCCAGGGTTCGATTTCCGGCATGGGTAAAATATTTTCCTGTACTCCACAGAGTCCAGACCGGCTCTGAAGTCCACCCAGCTTTCTCTCCAATGGATAACGGGCCTCTTTCCCCGGGGGAAAAGCGGCCGAGGCGTGAAGCTGACCACTCACCTCCATCTAGTGCCGACGTCGAGAATGTTACAAGTGTACCTCCGTTCCCCAATAAGTCTTCATGGCATGGCACTTAATTAAGCGCAGGGACATTGTTAATTTTTTTACCTTTCTAGAAGGAAGAAGTCGTGGCCTGATCGAAGGACCTTGCCCAATTTGTCGGGAGAAAGTGAGGAAAACCACGAAAATCCTAAGGATAGCCGATGTCCTGGTTGAGAATCGAACTTAACACCTCCCGAATACAATTCAAGAAAGTTATCGCTACAACTCGTTCGGAGTATATTTCATGTTTTGTTAGGCGCATTTCGGAAAAGAAAAATGTGAAAAATCACAGATTTGTGATATCCGTCCATTAGTAACAGTGAAGATGCAAGTAAACTAAAATAGAACTTGTACATCTTATTGAGGTATACCTGCACATTTATATCATGTGTCGTTTGTCACACGATGAGACATCGTCCAATTCGAACTTAATGTGCATTGGTTTTATACCTTACAATATGTATATTATCTTGGTTGGATACTGAGGCTTCTGTCGTTATTTGCATAAGGTTGGCGTCTCTACTTGCGTATTCATCACTTCCGAAACTGCGGACCCAATTTTTACTAAATTTATTATTGGTGTGTGTATACTAAGTGTTGTCGAGAGAACTTCATTTTACTTGAGCAGTTCTGTCATCTGGAATATAATGCCATGCAGTTCCTTGAAAGCCAATCGACGTTTCGGAGGAACATGTCGCCTTCATCTTGAGGTTCTAAGAATAAACCTATAAAGAAACCAGCGTTTCTCCCTGCTTCACGCCCGTTTTTTTTTTGCGTGGCTTAATCTTCGATTCTGAAGATAGAGGAGATATGTTCCTCCGAAACGTCGATTGATTTTCAGCGAACTACAAGGCGGTATATCCCCGGAAGATAGAACTCATATCCACCTCTGTGAGAACCTCAAATTGTACTTAATTTTAGTTATTTTGTGCGTTTGTTGCAAAGATCGCAGAAAAGCTTCTAGATTCGTACGCTTCAATGAGGCACAAGTATACATTCTGTTGCAGAAGTAATGAGGTACATATAAATCGAGGCGTACTAAGACGTCGGGTGTTCATACATTGCTTCAGGTCGGTCCACCTGAAATATGAGGCTAGATACTTGCTTATGCGTGGCTCCGGAGATGTTTTGTAGAGGATTTGTAATTACAGCAATAGTTGGAAATCTGTCTCCCCTTACAGTGCTACATTTAGCAAAGCTGCGAAAAAACAGATGCACAAACGACCAGAAAGAAGATACGAACTTCTCTTACTGCGTCACAAAAAGAGAACTTTCACCTGCAAAGAGTGTAACTTATTCACGGCCTGGCGATCTTGAATGTGAAGATATGAGAGAAAATCAAATAGAAACCGCACTGCTTGCCAGATCATGTTTTGTTTGTTTCGTCTACACAAATTTTAACTATGTCAGCAGCTAGATATACCGACTGTGGGAAACTTGAATCCGGTAATGTCATACTTTTACTATCGCGGTCTCCTTCCTCCTGGCCATGTTGTTCGTGTATTACTTCTTTACTGGTTCTACAGCCCCGTGTGGGTCTTCGCCTCCTCCATGGTCTTTTATCGCTGGAGGTTTCGTAACAGTAAATTTTGCTGGGGTCGGGTCGTTAAACCCACGCCCAACCCCAAGCTGGAGGACTAGGGACTACACTTCGTCTGGCCCCTACCCTTTGACCTGTGTGGCATGGGTGGCCCGACCAGAAGCTTACGCTCCCGCCAGCATAGCTGTCAGTATCATTGTGGCCCGCAGGCATAGTTTCTCGAGGAGAACAACATGGGCCCTTACAGTACAAAGCTACACATTCACGGAGTAGTTCAGCATAGGGGTAACGATCTAGTCTCGTTTTCAAAAAGTACTCGGTTCGAATTTCGGGCGGGACACCGGCCGTCACGACTGAGCCTTTTGGGCTCTTATTCAGTGCCTCCAAGAGAATTCCGGTACAGTGCATCTGTTAGGCCACGATAGTATACGTTTACTTTTTGTCAGTGAACAAAAGAAATGTATAAAGAAAATGCTACATTCTGGGACTTGAAGCCGTATCGTCTGGTACAAATTTGTATTTTTGTCAGAGGAACATACAGCCTCGAACTGTAGGGTTCAAGAGTGAGCCTTGCGAGAAACTTGCTTGTACGGTTTCCGCTTAGATCCTGAAGATGGAGGTAGTACCTTCCTCCGAAATGTCGATAAACTTCTACCGCGACGTCACATCCCAGAAGATACTGCTTACGCTTCGTAGTCATCGCTCTTACAACCTCAAATCTCACGAATATTGTTTTGAGGTCCCTTAAGTATAGAAACGTCACGGTGCTAGTGCATGGTGATACGAGCCGGTGACGGTGCTCATGATCAGAGAGCAGAGGAAGACACGGATGTGGAGTTCGTCAAAGAAGTTTTGCTTTCAAATAACAAACTTGGGCTCGGGTATACGTGACATGCGCCATGACGCGAAAGGACGGAGCGTCACTGCAGTTTCGTGTGCGGAGAACATGGGTTCCATTTTCATATCAAAGGATGGTCATTTTCCTTTATATTTTTCGTATTTTCCTCAACCCCTCCATGAAAATTCAAAATTAGTACGTGAAACTCCACCACGGCCACTTCCTGCCACAACATTTCTACTTCATTATTCGCAACAAGTCACTTGACATACACGTACATGATGTCCAAGAATAGTAATTACCCCATTTATTGTGATTTCATCATCTACTTTTAACATGTGAAGATCAAGATACCAAAGAGTAAGGGAAATACGAAATAAAGAAAGTAACAGAAAATTCGTGAAGCTTTGTTACTGGAGACCTTCAAATGTACCAAATTATATTCCGAAAGTGACCCACAGCACTGAACAGAGCACGCGCAACCCGATGAGACTGTTGTGGCGTTTCAGACTCTCACAACGTTGGCTTCTGAGATATAACGCCGTTATATCTCAGAAGCCATAACTCTTCAAAGCCACTGCTTTGAGTACCTCAGATCCAAAAATATATATAGTGTGTCCCAGAACAAACTTATCACATTAAATTTCCTTTCTTTGACTCTGTAAATCTTATGTGACCTCGGTTAAATACGCATGAGAACGTTAAATATGCGATAGGCATTATGACTCTAAGAAATTTCTGAACCGGCTATGCTTCTATATATTTCCCAAGTGTCCGTCAGAGCAATGGATGGCAATGGATGTGTTTTCTGTGTGGTCCGACCCGAGGCTATGTAATGAGAAGCCAAGAGTAATTGACAGTTCAGTTGGAGGTGTAGTGTGGTCAGAGGTCAGGAGCGTCCAGTCGAAGATAGTGATTTCCGAAGTGTTGCAACCAGATCCAATAAATTCGATCATCAAATCGAAAACCCATTTTATAAGTCACGCAAAACCATCATATATGACAATATTAATGCAATTAAAATAAGTTGTGTTGTATCAGTGACCACCTCTGTGGTCTAGTAGTCAGAGTTCCTGGCTACAGATCCAGAGGTCCGGGTTCGATTCCCGGCGCTACCAGATTTTCTGAGAAGTAGCTTGTCTGGAACGGGGTCCACTCAGCCTCGTGAGGATAATTGAAGAGCTATTTCAAGGTAATAGTGGCTCCGGTCTAGAAAACCGAAATTAACGGCCGTGAGGATCCGTTGCTCTGACCACGCGACAACCTCTAACCGCAAAAGTTGGCTCTAACTTCGCCGACGAGCGGCGGTCGGTCGGTCAGTATAATTCGCTTGAAGGACTAGATGCTGACATGGATCTGTATGTCACCATTAAAGCACAATAGATCACTGTAGATCGCGGTGCAAGGGCCGAGAAGACCCACCCCTTATACATTCATTCATTCATGTCACCATTATAAAGTTGCTAGATCCTATTTTTAACATCCCGCGGGGATCAAAATCTCCATGCCGCAAATAGCGTTAAAATCAAAGGACTTTTATTTCGCAAGGTTGCCTCCTCAAAGTACGATGTACCACCACATATGTTTGAGACACCATACCAACGTTTCCGAATAAGTTTCTACTACTCTGCTTGCCATCCCGCTTCACGCTGGCTTCTTGCAATTCTGCTTCGATACTGAAGATGGAGGCCATATATTCCACCGAAACGTTGGTCGACTTTCAACAGACTACACGGTGTTATATATATATATATAAGTTTCTACTTGATCAGTAATAAGGTGATATGTAGACAAGTACACTCCGAAGCACATCAGTAGCCATCATAAAACTGAAATATTAGTATTTGATCTTTGCGTGACGACCGTAATTATGAAATTGCAATCTGAACGGCCTTTGACACGTTGTGTCGATCTTGCAGATACCTGGCTGAGCGACTCAGCCATCAAAGCTTCTATGCTGTTAGTTAATAAGTTAACCGCGACACGTAGAGCGCTGTAGTCGACCAAATCGAATATCATAGAGTGGGTTGAGTCAGACACAGGCGGGCTGAGGAGTTGGAGTTTGGTTGCGAGAATGCGAAGAAGTGGTATGTGAGTGAAGTGTGTTTGTACGTATGAGTGCTTCTGTTTTGCAGTTAACTGCAATACATGTCAGTACCAAAGCAACGGACGCACATTAGTTTACTCATTGGTATTATTTTTGGTGAAACATGCTAACCGTAAGATCGTCTGCTGCTGATGACGTAGGAACAGTCCTGGTACCTGCAGTGAATTTTACTAGGAAGTGAGAAATATTCCTTATTTATCAAAAAGATACAGCAAAGCGCTTGTGTAAACTCAAAACAGATGTATTTGTCTGATGCCAGCTCTAAGAATGGTGCATTTTGGTGACAAGCACGTTTGTCGAATAGAGGAAGTGGATGCACAGCTGGTTTAGCTCTAGGGGTGTGTAATGTCCTTGTTTAGTGGCGCGCGTTTTGAAATCTTGAACCAAAATGTGGGTCGTGAATTACGAAGTGGTTCGATATGACAGTTATAATGCGAAACTGTGAAGAGAGCTGCAAGCACCAAGTATGAGCAGAGGATACTACGTTCCTTGTGCCCCATTTCTTTATTTGGTGAGTAAGATTTTAACTTTTTGTTATGTAAATGTACGAATACTTCTTTACATGCCTAGTTCTGTTTTATTTTAAATTGAAGAATGAGTGACTATCTTAACTGTAAATGACGCAGATAATTACGGGCTGTGAAATAACTGGAGCTACGTTTTTGGGGAGATATGTGATGAAAGATCGTTTAATAGGAACTACATTTATTATATCAATTTATCACGCAACGGATGTTGGTCAGCCCGTGATTCAGTGATTAACGTATTAGCATTGAAAAGTTTTGCTGTACGGGTATCGAAAAAAATGTCTATATAATTACATCCGATCACCTGACATCCGGAGTATAGCAAACTACCGAAACTTCGTTTATACCTATGAGAATGGACAGTGCCATTATTCATGTAACAGCTTTGCCCGTGTCAATCTCGATGTCTGTGTGTGTTTTTGAAACTCTTTTAACTCCGCGTGATAATTTTTATATAAGATTTAAAAAATATATGTATGCAGGTTTTCTGAATTACGCAGAATTTTTATTCTTCTTGTAGCCTGTATATCGGATGTTAACTTGCGCGGTGTTTTTACATAGCTCGGATGATAGTGAATATGTAATTTTGAAGGATCTGGAAGAAAGTAGTTGCAGCCTAATTTTAATGTACTATTCCGGCATTTGCCTGGAGAGACTAAGAAAAACCACGAAAGTTATCAGGATCTGCTTGTTGTCTGCTTCATGCCGATTTGTTGTGCTTCGTTTACTGTCTTAACCCAGAAGGAGGAGACGAGCCACTCCTCCGAAACTCCAGTTGACTTTTCCGCGTGTTACGCGGTTTTGTAAGTCCGAAGACATAAGCTTCGCAGTCAGAAACTCAAAGCTTACAGTTTCGGGGTTGTAACCGTGCACTTTCCGAATACAAGTAACAAGAGTTACTGATTGAGCCAGTTTGGTTGTCCCTTTGCCTAATTGATTAAGCACTACGCCATGAAGACGTGTGGGGGAGTGGTCGTACAGATCCACGTTTTATTGGCTTCGGCACTAGATGGAGGTGAGTGGTCAGCTTCACACCCCGGCTGCATTACCCCCGGGGAGAGAACCCCCGGTACCCTTTGGGTAGGAGGTTGGGTGGGCTCCAGAGCGGGTCTGGACGACATGGAGAAGCGAAAATTCTTGTTCCCATCATCGGGACTCGAACTCCGACCCCTCGGTCACCCAAACCGTCGTCAGTCGCTATACCGACTACGCTATCCCGGGTCATCTTTTATTTTTATGAAAATATAAATTCCGTGATAAATTTAGTGAAGTTGTATTACGATGATCGGACTTTGCGTTCCGCGTTTTTGCCGTCTATGTGCAATATCGGTTGCACATAACCGACATCACACATAGACGGCAAAAACGCGGAACGCAAAGTGCATCTACTGAGTGCAACAATACGCAGCAATTTAATATTATTACGATCAACTTAATGCAACATACGTTTGCAGGATTTAAAGTTCTGGCCGTGATGTGTTCTAGTGCCTGTGTACTACACGACATACGATATGTGCCAGAAGGTAGAGCTTATCGTGAGATACATTTGTTTGGGTCTAGCGAGAGTAAACAAAACAAACGTCTGCCCTGATGATATGGACGTCACGGTATGGTGAAGTTGGAATACAAAAACATGCGATCACAGAACTTACAGTCGGAGGTACAGAAATGTTCCGCACGTCTCCATTAAAAGCTTTTCCCTTCATGATTACATTGCTTTCTGTGTGCAGCATGCATACCGCGAAATGTAACAAGAGTGCTGAGTTCACCTCCAGTGGCATGCGTTTCCAGCACATTTGATGAAAAGGGACAAACTAATTTCATGGTTATTAGGAGAGACGAACAGCGTGACCCCACAGCACTGACTCATTCTCAGGCATTCTGTTCGCAGTTCTTTTCAGGCACCATGACTGTAGGACCGTCTGTTCATTTAGCCATGCCCAGTTTTCTGTTACATGTTTCAGAGCAACGTCATAGGTATTTAATTAAGGGACCCTGACTGAGGTGGGTCCTGTAATTTGGAGTAAAATTCCATTAAGCAGTTTGTTTTGAGACGGTAGTAGTTGCCCAGCAAGCCTTCTGTGGAAGCTGGAAGTTCATTACCATGCCCGCAAGAAATCGCCGTCTGTCCATCCACTCCCAAGCTGCGAATTCTCTTCAGGACTTTTGACGAAAGTGCACGTATTTTATGCATTTGTGCGCGGATCAGAGGGCTCAGTGCTCTCACTGCCTGGGTTGCTTCTATTGCAGCTTGAAGAATTCATAACTCCAGATAAGTGAAGACCGATTCCTATTATCTCATATATACAGGATGATTCTAAATTACTGTCGGCGTTCCGTTTATATGCCACGGAAACCTCGACACTAATTTAGAATCATCCTGTATATTGTATTTTGCGGTAAATAGAGAATTTTAATATACTTCTCAGGATTTTATGGAACCCGAACGTTCATCACCGTGTTTACAAGAGCCACCCATCGGTCTCTATCCTGAGCCAGATCAACCCAGTCAGTACCACCCCATCCTATCTCTGTAAGATCCGTTTTAATATTATCCACCCACCTACATCTTGGTCTTCTTACTGGTCCCTTTCCTTGTGGCTTTCCCACCAATCTTCTCCCCATTCGTGCTGCATGCCCTGCCCATCTCATCCTCCTTGACTTGATAATTGTAATTATACTTGAAGAAGAGTACAAATTATGCAGTTTTCTCCAACCTCCAGTCACTTCATCTCTCTGCGGTCCAAATAATCTGAATATACATAAAAGTGATGACGTACTGAATCTACGAGTGAACTGCCCTCAGAACAACACTTTATCAGAATTATATTAATTTTCATAGCGTAAATGCCGTGCTTTCCTTACAGCATAAGGGCTGGGCTGTATATCCACGATCAAACTACGTAAAATCAGAATATAAATGAGAACAACAAAGAAAGTGCCGTTTTGTTCTTTCTCCTATGTTCAACTGTTCATGTTTCAGACATTATATCCTTGCTCTCCGTGCCCCAAAAAATGTGGAGGTGCAGACATTAAGAACTAAGGAACGGAAAAGGCGAAAGCCAAAATTCTCCGTGTATTTTTATGCGCCACTTTCAACAGAAAAAACGATGGATTAATCCCAACTCGAGGACCTCAGCAAACCGCCCCAGGAGAACAGAAATTTTGCCTCCCCGCCTCCTCCAGTTAAGAAATAAAAATCTGTTCGCAAAAGTTTATCGCAGTAACACGATATTCTCAGAAACTGACGGGGAAACCCAGTAAACAGCAATACAAATGTATTTTCCCGTCACGGAAGTTGCCTTCTCCCAGCCGACATGGGATCACAGAATCAATCAACATTGTTTGATTCGAGGTTCTCTTAGCGGTGGCATGAAACGCAGTTGTTAGAAGTTGCACTGAAGTTTTGGAGGAAGGTATCGCTTCCATCTTCACTTGCCTCCCGCTACTTGACTGTTTCTTGCTGGGCCTAGTCGTCGATCCTGAAGATGTAGGCGATACGTTCCACCGAACTTCACGGCACTGCAGCTCATAACGCAGTACTTTTCTTAAACGATAGCATTTGCAGTTCGGAGTTATATTGTTGCTCGTATATAACATGTTTCTGTGGGTGCCTATTAAATGCGACAATATCAACAAAAGAGCATCGAAATGAATTTTCATTTAACAAAAAGCCGAAAGAAAAGGGGGGTTGTTGAATGTGTTGCCCCAGGCGGTCATTTGGTTCGCTTGTGCTGTTTGCTCAGACTGGACGCTCTAATGCACGATCGCAGATCTGCGGAGCTCCCGCTGACGAGGGTTCTCCCAGTCCGCTCCGCCCGACCTTTTGCATGCAAGATCTCGAGAAACGCTGAACGGAAGTTCACGAAATTTAATGCCGAAGAATTTTACACAAAGGTGTACAGCCATTTAAATTTAATTGAAATCGGACAAGTTTAACGATTCTGCGTAAAGACCTATATGTCTTCCTGCGCTTTGCTGTGTAAATATTTACCAGAGAGAAAAAATAGACATTTTTTATTTTATGCCCTGTGCACTTCCTCCGAAGGGCTTAGTTTTCGAAATATTGAAACGAAAGCGATGTTACGAGTTCGTTTCCGAACTTGAATATTGAAAAGTCAGCCATGGCATCCAGTAACACAGAGGCAATTGAGGACAAAAGAAAGCAACAGATGAAAGTCCTTGCTGAATTTATATTACGTTAACACCATGCTTGTTTTACGCTTTTCTTGCAGTGCTCCGTTTCATTGCCACTTCGAATAATATGCTAAACAATTTACATGTATTTAATTGTCTTTTAGTGTTCGAAATGGCAGTTAACATGGAAGCCACTATACAAATTGTTTATTCATTCGGTTCAAAGTTTTGGCTTCTGACCAATTTGAGTACTACCGAAGAGAGAAAAGTTTAATGTTTACATATTTTAAGGGAACAGTTCGTCGTAATCTTCATTATTTAATTTATAATTTCTTCAGCCATCCAGCCTTCTGCTTAGTGGGTCCCGGGGCTCTTCCCCAGGGGTTGAAGGGACCGTTCATCTCCATCTGCTTCCGAGGTCAAGAATCGTGGAGCTATACCGCCACTCTCCCATATGTTTTCATGACGTGGTCCTTAATTAAATAAGCCCATAAATAACTTCACTTCTTTTCGAAGGCGTCTTCTGTGTGTGCGTTGTATATATTCACAATCTTGTTTTTAGAATAGTTTTGGTAAAATAAAATGTTATACCATACCGACCGAGCAACGGCCGCTTCTCGGCGAAGTTTAGTGCGAACTTTTGCGGATAGAGGATGTCGCGTGGTCAGCGCAACAAATCCCCACGGCCGTTAATTTCGGTTTTCTAGACCGGAGCCGCTATTTCCTTGAAATAGCTACTCAGTTATCATCACGAGGCTGAGCTGGCCCCGTTCCAGACCCACTTCTTCTCCGAAAAAATCTGGTAGCCCCGGGAATCGAACCTGGACCTCTGGATCTGTAGCCAGGA